TGATGCTGCAACTGACTGTGATGTAGTCCCAGAATCTCTTGCAGCAGGTGACTTAAAGTTACACATAAAAGTTCGTAGGACTAATGTCAGTTTATATGTGCTGGAGTTAGCCATGTCTGCATGTTTGCTCCTCTAAGCAGAGCCAGCTTGTTACAATTTCATCTGCTTGCCAGATTTTTTTCAGTATCTTCCCAAGAGGTTGCAAGAAGTCCAGAGAAGGGCAAGTATGTACTTACGAGTACGTACAAGTCAGTACTCTTCCTGGACCAACATTAGACCTAGAAGTTGGTTCACTTCAACTTTGCACTTGTATTTCAGTGTGGCAGTGTCATGTGTTTGTGTGAATGCACATCTTTTCTGGGTAGGTGCCAAGAAGTACCTATGAAATTCTACCTATTAGAACATGTTAATGACCAAGATATCAATAATGAGTAAAATCTCAAATTTTCTACATATTTTTCTATCTGTCTGCAAATGTGATGTCCTGTTTCACTGAAATTTTAAGTCAGTGTTTCCTTGAAAAGTCCAGAGAGGCAAATTGACTTAATACTGCATCTGATAAATTGAGGTTAGTCAGTAGAGAAAGAAGGTAATGGTTTTAAGGAATGATTTCAACTGGTACTGATCAGTCCTCCTTCATGAAGGAAAACTCTTTGTTTTTCCTGGTAAGGAAAATTAGGTGCAAGACAACATAATGCAAATGCTTCATGTGGAAGCATTCTCAAGGGGGAATATGAAAGGGCTAAAAAGCTCAGAAAGTGTTTATACTTCTTGATAACATGCACTGCTATTTCTGATCTGATTCTGCCTCAGATGCTTCAGAGTCAGCATATTAAATTGATAGAAGGATTGTATGGACTCCTTATTCCTCTACATAAATCCCTCTTGTGCTGCCAGATGTTTATGTATAGCATACTGAAATCTGGGTCTGTTGCTGCTTTCTTGTGTTTGGGGCATGGGATTCCTATTTAGACTTCTAATTGCCTGCCAATCTAGAAATTGCCTGGATTTGGAATCTTATTTGAGAAAACATTCTTTTGGAGTGGCCCTTTTAATTTCTGATACAGTAAGATGGGATGTGTGCTGTGTATCACATTAACATGCATGATAGCATAGCATGAAAGTACTGGTCACTATTAATTATATCAGAGGACAGATATCTTGATAATTCAGTAATTTGATTATCAATTTTGATAGTAGTATAATCTTAGATATTTATTTTTAAGTAGTCTAAAAGGAAATGTAGATTTTCATTTAGATCTTGCTGTTCTTTGATCCAAGTTATTGGATCCAGGTAGTTCAAAACCATGAAATGTTATGAGTGACGGAGGTTGTAGTGCTTAGTCCTTCATCCCTTAAGCTGGCAAAACCAGAAGTTGACTGTTCCCTGAGAAGGATGAGTGGCAGAAAGTGTTAGAATAATCCTTCTTAGAGGTAACCAGCATTATTTACTCATTAAGCATAAGTGAAACTTAAGAATCAGCACTAGGGATATAACCTTTCCCCGGGAATTCTCTAATAAATCATTATTTTTGAACCAAACTGTGAGAGAGGTTTGGAGTCTGCACTGGCCCATAGCGAGAGTCTGAACGCATTTCAAAATTTTATTGTAATCCATTTTAGAGTTTTTGAAAAGTCAAAGTTCTGAATAGGGAACTGCTTCCAAATAGGAACAATTTATAAAAATAATATGTTTCTCTTACTGAATAATTTGAAGGGGTCCTATTTTGCACAACTGTGTGAGCATCCTGTAGAAGATAGTTCAGCTTCACGTGATGCCATTAAATAAATCCCTACCATTTCTCTAAGTAGGCTTTTCCAAGTTAGTTATTTTTTTCTTGGGTAAAGAGGGACTCTCTATAACTATATTATAATAGTTTGCCAGAGCCTTCTTTCTTGGAAAGGGCTACTATAAGGTAACCATCATGTAGTCCAGATCACATGTAGGAGTAACTTGCATTTGAAAAAGCTACCTATTTTCAGTGTGCTTTTATTTCTGTTGGAGAAGAAAATTCGAGAGCTAGAGCCAAGGCACAGTCTTATTTCTTTGGTTTACTGGGGTTTTGTCACATAAGAATAAATGGTGTCTTACTCCATCAGGTTGTTATAAGAGCCCCTCCAAAAGCTAAAATGCATGGGCCTTGCCTTCCTACACTTTCTCATTCTGTTGCCAGTGGGTACTCGAAGGGGCCCCAGTATCTTATAAGCAAAGGGTTGGTGAAGAAAATTGATGCCAGCTTTCAAGAGCAAGGAAGCTAATTCAGGGAACAATTTCACCCAAGGTTAATGGAAGAACAGACCTCCAACACAGTATCAATTGGATTGAGCTTAGAGCAATCAGTTATGCCCTAGTAGCTATAACTCCAGTCCTGGTCAGCCAGGCAGCACTGGGGATGTTTTACAACACTTTCTCAGTGGCTTTTATCAATAAGGAAGGAGAAAAAGTTTCTCAGTCCCATTTCTGAAGTAATATTCTTTGTGCCCAAATGAGGGAAGGAAAACCTTTTTCAGGAACTACAAACAAAATAGGAGTTTTAAATTCTATTCCAGATAGTTTATAGGAGAGCAGTGAAACATATGAACACTTCCAGAGGACAGCTGAACATGGAGTTGCGTTCATGGAATAAGGCTGTGTGCATCCAGGACTTTATGACAGCCTGAAGCTTGTGCTGCAGTTACAGACTTTCTTCTTGTCCAGCATGGTCTGTGTTTTGAGCGCGTCAAAAAATTCAGCTCTGAAGACTGTTGGCCTTTCTGGGCTGTGAGACGAGTGTCCCAAGGACTGATGCAATTTTTCAATCCCTCTTTCTACCCCCAGAGATTAATTCCATGATAAGCCTTCACTTGCTTTGGAAGGTTGGCTGTGCGAAACCATTGTAACTTTTTCTGTGTTAGCAATTCAGAAAAGGGATTTTCTTCTTTTAGTCCATTAAAATAGGGTGTTTAACCCGGAAATTTTGCAGGGAGTTTGTAGCTATTTTCCTGGAAATTTTGTCATGTCTGTGTTAACCCTCCTTGTCTATTAATACAAATGTTTGCACTTTTGGACTGTCAACACCACCATGAAACTAGTCTGCTGAAACCTTCCCATCTAGCTGATGTGAGAGGAGGTCAGAAATGGCTGAAGATGAGGATAAGCAGGTTGAACCTCTTAATTTTGGTTGTTGTGTTTTGCCTTTGCTGGCTTAGAGTTCGAAGCTGTGGTCCAGCTGGGTGTTTTCTAGACTGTACTTCAGATTCTAGAATTACTGAAGGCTAGCTCAACCATTTGAGGTTATTTTTCCCCATCTTTGAGTGTTAAATTGTACTTAATATATCCTGAACGTCTAACAGCTTCTTACTTGAGGTAACTGAAAACTGGTACCTTACAAGGAGTGAATAGTTGTCCAGTAACCTCTAATGTACTGCATTATGTGTTTTTAGTGAATCATCATATGGCAACATACTGACATTTCATTTGTTTGTGAAGGCAGTATTCTTTCTGAAGAAACAGACAACTGCAGGCCTGAAATTCTCATGCAGATGACGTTTGGCTCAAATCTAGCTAGAGAAGTTTGTGCCCTACCACACCTGCTTTTTCTGCTGTCAGTTCTGCCTCTCCTCAGTTGTAGTGGTACAGCTGCTCCTGGTGCTGTGCTGTAAATCAGATCAGCGGCACATTCCTTTCACTTTGTTTAATCTCATCCCTTAATTGAATATACATTCAAGTGTCTGCTAATACCTAGTCCCTTAGATTTTAATCGCTTTTACTGATTTACCTGCTTAAGCAGCGGGTAGATAATTTTAAGAGATTTCAGCAAAGCTAGTGCCATACAGCTTTTTAGAGACTGAGCTATACTGCTTTTCTGAATCTAGTCAGAAATCCAAGTCATCTAACTGCATGTAAAAATCTGGTGAGTGGGAGTAGGAGCTAGAGAGCAGCGTCATTTAATGACTTTCCAATTGTGTTCATGTGCCATTCCAAGAGGGTTTTGCTGGTAGAGAAATATCACTGGCCTTTGGTGTTCGGCTTTTGGTTTGTTTGCTTGGTTTTTGGTGTTTCTTTGGGGTTTTTGTTTGGTTGGTTTTTCGTTTGTTTTTGTTGATACTATTGGTCTTCTGAGTGTAGTAAAAACATACTGATTTGACAGAGTAATTGCATGATGTGGGAGCCATTGATAGGGATACCATGTTAAGGACAGCTATTTTGCATATGTTCTGTCCCTAACACTACCCTTGAATGTGAAGTGGAAGTACACCTGCCCTGTCAGTTTAGTTTTAATGTTTACACTCAGGTCTTGGTCTGCATACAGTATTGAGTGTGCTCCTGGGCACTCATTTGGAGCAAAGCAATTAGTTTACTCGGAAGCCAAGTCCCAATAGATTTCTGAGGTCTGTTCACACTGGAGGTGTTTGCCAACAGATGATATGGAGGAGATGATACTGTGCCGGATTCTGCCGTCTGCTGTATGCAATTGTTTAATGCCATCCTAAGAGGCTGATGCCTTCATGCTCTCTGATGCATCCTTGGACAACATACCAGGGTATGCAGCACTTCACCATAAATTTCTTTATTTTAAAACACAGTTTTAATGGATTGTTGCTCACTCTTCACATTACATCAGCCACTTTGAAGTGACCAAAAATAAAACAGAAATGACCTCAGATAATGCCTATCTGTATCAGGAGGGATACAGTTACAGAGCATCCCATTACAATTTGGGTATCATTGTGCTGGCGAGTGCGCAATCTGTTTATGATAACAAGGTGTCTGGAGAAGATACTGATGACAAGCTTTAACTCAGAGCTAGTCCTGTTTGCAAGTGAGATGCGCCATACAATTATTTAACATAAAACAGCGTTCATTATTTTTACAGCATGAGGGTATTAAAAATTTCAGTGACTCATATTATAAACTTTGTTTTATTTAAACCGCCTGTTTCTGACCAAGTTCTAACTCTGCTTAATTTTTTAATATATCTTGGCATACTGAGTTCTAAAAATTGCATGTGTCCTTTCAGGTTTGCCTGAGTCTATTATTGCAGCGGCATGTGCTAGAAGTGGCCAGAGAGTTCTTCATGTTGATTCGTAAGTTACTCCAACAGTCTTCCTTTTTAGGAATTAAACTGTCTAGAAGTATGTCTGTGTCTATGTCAGCGTGCCCTTAGGGAGTTGTGTTTTGCACTCATCTGGCATCAAGTAATCTTAGCTTCTGTCTCTACCTTATTTTTGGGGTGTTATAGCCATCAGTAGAACAGCAATTTTTGCATGCTGGCTCAGTAATTTGGAACATAAATGATATGGTCAAGGATGCTGTTCATGGCTCCTTCTTCCATTCAGACAGGAACGGTTGCAGGTTTAGTGTCCTCTGTCAGCATTCTTCATAGTAATTAACCCATTCTGGTTTTGTCAGAATTGTTACCAGAACCATTATCATTTCATGACAAAATGTTTTATTAGTATCTCATTTGTATTAGATTGCTAACCAGAATATTAAACCATTTATTTTAGAATAAACAGATATAGAATGAATAAAACGGTCACATTTGGATTTAAAGCTTGATGCATATGTTACCAGTAGACTACTTAGATTTTGTCAAATGAACACTTATGTTTCAGTTTTTCACATTCATTGCTTATCAAAGTCTGTAATAGTCACTGGAACTTAGATTTCTTTTTGTGCTGATTTTGGTTTGGATAGAGTTAATTTCCTTCTTAGTAGCTGGTGTAGGGCTGTGTTTTGGATCTATGCTGGAAGCTGTTGATCATACAGGGATGTTTTAATTACTGCTGAGCAGTGCTTACTCAAATACAAGGCCATTTCTGCTCCTCACACCCCACCAGTGAGGAGGCTGGGGATGCACAAGGAGTTGGGAGGGGACACAGTTGATCTCGACTGACCCCAGGGGTATCCCACATCACAGGATGTCATGCTCATCATGGGAAGCTGGGGGATAAGGAAGGGGTGGATATTTGGAGTAATGGCGTTTGTCTTCCCAAGTAACCATAATGTGTGATGGAGCCCTGCTGTCTTGGGGGTGGCAACATCTGCCTGCGATGGGAAGTGGTGAATGAATTACTTGTTTTGTTTTGCGCAGCTTTTGCTTTACCTATTAATGTATCTTTATCTCGACCTACATGGGCTAATGGGTAAGTGGCTGTCTGGTGCTTAATTGTTGGCTGAGGTTAAACTGCAACACTTCCATCCATGCCTGTTTTTAGCTGCGATGAAGAGCCTTTCAGAAATCTTGCAGGAGGAGGCAATTAGAACTGCGGAATACAGGTTTTGTTTATTACTGTTTTCACTTAAATATGCTCATTTACATTCACACATGCTTTTGTTTTTATGGTGAAAATTAAGGCTTCTTCTTTAGATTCCTTTCTCCTGTGAAGTTATTTTCCAACTCTAGTGCATGCTAAGGACAGGGGAAGGTGTTTTTAACCAAGGTGTCCTTCACTCATATTAATAGTTGCTGTTTTAATTGATGCATGTGGTCATTGAATCATGGTCTAAAATCTGTATCTTGGAAAAAAAAAAAGGAGAAATATTTATGCTGGACAACCCCTTCCCCATTAATAGGGAATTTAAGGCATTTAAGCCATCTGCCTTTCGTGTTTAAGTTAGTACTCTCCCAAAAAAGCCTACCAGAACCATTAGAAAGCCCCCATCCTGATGCCATTTGAATTTTAAGTGAAAAGCTAAGTCTTGGAAAGCTTGCTAGAGATTCATCTGAATTTAAGCATCTTAATTTTATCTACTATATGTCCAGATTAATTGACTCATTTCTAGATGAATTTTCAAGTTTCATTTTACCGAGGCAGTAATATAATTGAAAATTCATCAGCATCTATTCAGAATATCACTTTTTAACAGTATATGTTTTTCCCTTTTTGAAGGATCATGAGTTTAAGATTTTTTCAGAGTATAAGAAATACTTGTTTGTATTAGGTGTGCTACTTTGATTCATCTTTTTTCCTCTACAAAGGTCTGAGTTAAGTTAGGCACACAGTATAGAAAAAGTATATGGATAGAGTCTTTGTTTATAGTTTGCTTGCACTTGTTACCTTGTGTGCATCATTTTATTACTTTTAATCTCCAGCCATGTTTGCATTTATCATAATATACTGCATAGGTGATTATGGAAGATAGTTTTGAAGTGGCCTATTATAAAATACTAAGTTCTAAGGTTGATTTATAAACACTGTCCAAGCATCGCCATCACCAGTAGCTAATCTTATTCAAATAGTCACTTCACTGCAGTGTTGCCATAAATTCCTGTAGACTGATTTTAAACTAAAGTTAGCTTCTGCCAAATAGTAATTGAAGGAGCTCTATTTCTCTGTGCCAGCTATCTGTCTCAATAAACGTAAAATCTGTGGTTCTTTTCAGAGCTACATTTACTGTAGATACTAATGAGCTGTTGACATGTGAAATTTCAAGGATATTTTTTAAGTGATTTAGAAAAGTAATTTGCAATTTAAAAATGTGAAGATTGGCACTCAGGTTAAACTTGAAGTTGCTGAAGAAAGGTAGATCAAGACTGAAAGTTGATTACTTGAAGTGAATATACTTCCCATTCCGAGTGTTCGTATGCATAGGACTTTCTCCTGGTGGCTTGCTATGTTTTCTGCTTCTGGTCCTTTGCTTATTTGCCTCTTATAATTACATATCTTTATAGTTATGTACTAGTTTGATTACTGAGGACAGGGCAGTTGGAGGCGAGGTATGTTTAGCTACGTTTTGATTTTCAGCATCTGGTAGCATTTGTAGACTACAGTTTTTCTGTTTACATCCTTCCTCATTGACTTAATAATCTGTCAGTATAAAGTTTAATTCAGAAGCATAGGAGTGTCAAGATGCAGGATTTTAACTCCTCTTCTGTGCCCAGTTTGCTCTGCCTGCTTCTCATGTCTTGCTTTTTGACACTGCTTAGCTTTCTTAATTTTTAAGCTTGCTTTGCCCATAGAGTACTTGAATGTTCCTTCTGTTCACAATTCTGTTTTATCTGAGCATCCAGAAGCATGATGGACACCCTCCTTGTACCTTCCCCCTCCAAGGTTTTTTGTTTTTGTAGTTCCACATATTGCTAGACAATTGCTCACTTTTGCCAGGACTTGTAAAATATATAATGTAATACAGCCTGCATCTTCATACAGCCTTCATTTTAATCTTTGACTTCTGTAAAGTGAGGTAGCTGTGGAAGTACATCAACCAGAGAGCAAAAAGGTTGTTCCTCAAAGCAAGTCAATTTCTTGCCAAATAAATAAAGGAATTCCTTAACCTTCAGTAAGGGAATCTAGGCAAAAAATGTTAATTCTGGTATCTTTTGACCTTTTCTGAGAGAAGTTGTTTTTATTTCTGGTTTGGTTTTTTTTTTTAGTGTATGTTCTCATAGCAAAGGTATTGGAGAGTAGAACATAGTCTCAACCAGTCCATGTTAATTTGCTTTAGTTGTGTTCGCACCCCAGGACATAATGTAACATAAGTGACTGCCACCATCACCCTTACGTTGAGCTGAAAGATCTCAAAAGCTGTTTGGGTTAAACCCTTCCTCTTGGAAGGTAGGGAAGCGTAGTCCACTTCTCGTGCTCCTGAACACAATTACTGTCCCAGAATGGCAATTCTTAATACATTTGACTGTGTGCTCAGTAGGTAGCACGTGAAACCACTGGTTTGAAACATAAGTCATTTTGTGTTCAGATCCTTAAAATCGATGTGGCAGTAACTTCCTTTGCAAAAGACAGCTACTCTGATGGTTTGAGACTTCTTTCTGAAAGATCAAATGCAGGACAGACACATGCAGGCAGCTCGTGGGAGCAATCGTGAGGCATCAGCAGCTTTTCTTCAGACATCACCAGCTTTGACTGCTACACCATGGCTGTTATGACGTGGAACCGAGAAGGGTAATCTTAACAAGCATAGGCTGCGAAACCCTTTTTCTCTTCTTACTTACATTTTACTTGTGTATCTCGTGCTTTCAGAACTGTTTAATTTCTTAATTTGCAGTCTGTCTTCAGAAGGACATGTTAGATATTCCCTTGGTTTGGATTCCAAGAATATTAATCATTTGGAAACAATTTGCAGTTTCAGTGTTCTGGACTGGGATTTGCTAATTCTGTCAAGGTATTTGAAGAAAAATGGTGTTAGTAACGAAGTTAAAAATCACAAACTAATGTGGGAGAAGAGAGAAATCAGCTGAGGTAAAACCATACTTGAGCTACATTTCCAAAACTTTGCAAAAATTACTTCAGCAGTTCTACTGCTTTTAACTACAGAGTGGAGATTTACTAAGTGTGAAGTAAAAGCAGCAGTATTTTAATTAATGTGAAAATCCAGGTAATACAGGAGAAGTTTTGAGCAAATTTAATCTAGGAAATTAACGTATGAGAGAAAAAGAAAACATCCGTGCTCTAACTTGGTAGAAAAATTAATTTCTACCTTTGCTGTTACACCTTCAAAATGTTTCATGCCTTTACTTACAGGATAATTGAATTGCTACCCTAGAAAAGGGAGAAAATATCCATCTTTGTAGTTTGCTAATATAACAAGCGACAAGAGGAGCTTAGCCCTTCAAATTTTGGGGACAGTATTGTAGCTTTAATTAAGCTTTGATCTTGACCATTACTTTAAGGAATTCCTCGGTTCATCTTCAGGGCAATTACAACAAAAATACTTGGTTACAAAGGGCTCCTAATTGTAAAATCATTAGTCAACCCTTTTCAGAATTCCTTTTCAAGATTTTTACCAAAAAACTTTGCTCATTATGTCAGTAATTAGGTCTGCTCTACCTTCCTTCTGCAGTGCTTTCAGATGAGAAAATTAAGCAATCTTGATTCATCATGTAATGCAGGGTAAACTCATTAAAATTCCGGGGGGGGGGGGGGGGAATCTGGAATTTCATGCTTCAAGAGAAAATTAATATTTGAGGTGGTATGGCATAGCTTGGGAGAGGTGCTCGGATGCCAGAGAGGAAGGACAGCTGTGATTCATTTTCCATTTGAGAAAGGCCATACTGTCTTCTCAAAATGGATGGAGCAGCACTTTGTTGAAAAGATTGATTCATCTCAACGGTGGTTAAAAAGAAAAGCACTTTCAAAGGAAAATCCACCTGATGAACAGAGGAATGTTTACATCAGACGTGTCTGACAGCTCACGAATCAACTGTTGTAACTCTGTGAACATGACATTCATTTCTCTTACCGAAAGTTTTAATTTGGAGTACTCTAAATATGCATGAATTCATACTGGTGTAGATTCAAGAAACCCAGTCCTAATTTTAGGCAGGTGTTTTCTGCAGTTTCTGTGATCAATGGCCTTGCTTTCTCTGACAGCCAGATTGTATTCCATATTCAAGGAAACTTGCAACTAAACAGCAGATTCCCTTAAAAATAAATCTTCATGGCTTGTGTTTTTTGGAAATCCCAGAAGTGGCAGATAATATATGGATGTTGAACTTTTTACTCAGTCATATCTTAAGAAGCAGCAGAAATTAGCCTGCACCAGTGATAGCTAAAACAAACCTGATTATCATTGTGTGCAATCAGTTACTGTTTTACAGTCTGAAATTTGGCAATCAGTTGTTTCATCCTCATTGCTTTGTATTCTGTGTGATACCAAAGTGCAGTTCTTACAGAGCCTCACCCATGTCATTTGTAATAGTGAGGTAAGTATGAACTCTGCAGGTGATTGGAGTTTTTGGTTGGTAATGGATCTGCAGATAGAGCTCTTCTGCTTAAAGTCACCAAGTTGCAGGGCAGACTTTGAGCATTCTCATAAAGTATAGAACCAGTCTTCCCAGTTGATGGCCTTAAACACCTCATTCTGTTGTAGAAGCTGGCCTTATTAAGCGATTGCTGGATTTTGTTTTCTTTGCAGATGTCCTATTTATGTTCTTCACTATTGCCTTGCAGTAGCTGAAAGACTTTTTGAGGTCAGTTTCTAGTCAGGAGTGATTAGGCATTGTTTAGCAGACATCTGTCCTTCATATGCTAAGTAAGCAACATGGCATGGAGCATCACCCTCTGGTTCTGCAAAGGGGCTGACACTCTTGATGAAGCCTTTGTCAGTGCAGATAACCCTTGTCAAAACCATCCCATCTCAAATGGTAGGATCTAACCTGAATTTAATTTTTCACTGTTATCGCACTCACCTCTACAGTTTAAAAGAGGAGGAGGCTATGATAAGATTTGAAGTTATTTAACAGTCTCTGCATTGACCTGTAAAGTGCAAAACCCATCTTCCTCCCTAAATGCTGGCGGGTTGGGGTATTTTAGTGTATGCACTAACATTAGATATCTATCCAAGAGAGTATTTTCATTATCTTTCACGCTTCTGAGGTGCCAACATGCAGTGCCAGAAAACAGGGCTAAATCCTCAAGTGATTTTTTTTTTTTGTGAGAACTGGTGATTTTGTTTTTTATTTTATTGCTCTGTTATTTTTTTCCCATCAGAGCTGTTAAATATTGAAGCTGTGATATGCATGATGAAAGAACCTAATCCAACTGATGTTGAGAGAAATACGGATAGGAAATTTTTTTAAAGGGAGAACAGAGTCTTTGATTAACGGAAGAACAGTTAATTTTCTGTGATTTAAAAGAAGGAAACCAATATTTTTCAGGTAATAAAGTGGTAAATATAAACTGAAAAGTACTTGGGGAGGTATGATCATTTTGTACAAATCAGTTCCTTTGGCTCCACCTACAGTATATGCAGTTCAGTAAGAATTTTGCAAGAGCATCGTAACAGTCTATAATAAGCGTAATCTATTCTGTAAGCAACAAATAATAGAGTGAACTTTCCTTTGACATAATGGCTGAAAGATGTGGTTTCTACTGTCTGGACCAAGTTTCAGTTCACTTAACCCTCCTCGGCATATCACCCTCATGAAGCTCTGTTAGTTCAAAAGTGACATGTAATGCAATTACGTTAACTTCTACATCGGCTTCAGTCAGAAGCAGCATAACTGTGCTCATGTGACAAAGCTGTGAGGTCCTGCCAGAACCTGATGCCAAAAACCTGAAGTGGGTTTTCTGAGAACTCTGAAACTTGCAGGCTTGTTGGCTGGGCTGTGCGCTAAGTAAAAGTAGCTATAGTGATGTACGTATTGGAGTTAGAGGTGCACAGTCAGTCTTGGCCAAGAAGCAATATCATCTGTATTTTCCTCTTACTTATTGCATCACACGTGCTTTTTTAGCATTATTCATTTTACCCTCCAAATACTTTGATTTTAGACTGTAGTCTGGTCAGAGATGCATACAAATGAGTGAAAATGGAAATTTTGCATCTTGTTGAGAGTTCTGAAATATTACACCGATTTTTGTGTTCTGCACCTCTAATATCTATCATAGAAAACATTTTGAACATCTCAAACTTGTTTTTTTTTTCTTGAAACCTGAAAAGGCTATGTTTTATCTGCCCATCCATGCTTACTGTTGGTTTGTTGTTTTTTTATTTACAGGAAAAATTACTATGGTGGAAACTGGGCCAGCTTTAGTTTTTCAGGATTATTGTCCTGGATTAAAGAAAATCAGGTAAAAAATTCTCAAATTACTTCTTTTAACATTCCTTAAGGTTAAAGTTTGTTTGCGTAATGTATTACAAGACAAATTGCCACAGTGCTTTTTCTCTTTGGTAATTTGACAGATCAAAGAGGTTTCTCCATTCCAACTTTACTAGTTAAGACTTAACCACCTGGCCTGGCATTCTAGGACTCTTGAAATGCCTGATTTATTAATCTTACTACGTGAGGCCAAACATTCTAGTGTTCAGTCATACTTTTTAGGTTCTTGAATTTATGTAGAACCAACTACACTATTGTTTTGATTCCTTTCCCAGCACCTTCTGGTCTTCTCCTGTTTGATTATTTTCCACTCTGATATTTCAGTCCCTTTTGTCTTGTCTTCTATGCTTTCAGCTGATTCTTCTTAACTGGGAGAAGGGAAGTTACCGGATCCTTCCACTGAAATGTCCTGTAACCAGGACAGAAAGATGAATGTTGATAGTGTATTTTTCAATGACCAAAGTTTATCTGATTCATGATGGTACACTAGAAATCTTCTGAAGAGGGTATTTGTTTAAGAGATTGAGCACTTGAACTGTATTGGCAAATGGATGTTCATATTATTTGCTGAAGTGTTACAAGCCTGTTGGTCCGTAGAAGATGGAGCTCCTTCAGTTCAGTCTCATGCCTATTTATTACATAGTGCTGCTACCTTCTGCCATGATCAGTGGAGTTGCTCAATGTCAGAACTTAATACTCTCAGGGTTTTGTTACATGCCGTAGAGATTCCTGTGTGGGCAGATTAATACGATACCCAAATCACTGCATATTTTCTCATGTGGTCTCCATTCAAAGAGTTTTGTCACAAAGTTTGGAACGAACCTGGCTGTGGCAAAACTGAGTTTTAGTAGATTGTATTCAAAATTGCATTCAACTGTACTGAAACATGTATTCCATTTAGCACTGCATTCTCAGGTTACTAAAACTAGCAGTGTGCAAATGTTGGCATGCTATAATAAAGTAACCAGCTCTAACTGTTAGGACTCAAAATATCAATGAAAAAAAAACATTAAGACAGTTAAAATGATTCTCTCTCTATATATATAATGGTACAAATTGTTTGAACGACAGAGATTTATATTTAAAGAGCAGCTGGTACGGTACAAATTGTAATTTTCTATTTGTTCTTTGTAAGCAAAAGACTGGTATCAGTGATGCATGTGAAGACTGGGGAAAACTGATCCTTGAGAATGAAGAAGTTATTTCTCTTAGCAAGAAGGATAAAACTATTCAACATGTAGAAGATTTCTGTTTTGGCGAGTAAGTATAAATGCGGAAATATACAAATAATTTTATATGCCTGGAGCTAAATAACTATATTGTACTTTTGGCTTCAAGCATTTCACCACACTACCATATTGCATGTTGTCTCAGAAAGTAACCATGACCTCTAAAATGTTCCTAATGTCCTTGTGCTTTTGTGGAAATCACTTCAGTGAAGCTAACTGATACTTTTTGAATTACCTTGTCTGGATGCAGTGTAATCTGTTAGCCAACTTTGTGAACTGGTGATTTACTTCTGAGTCGAAAACAGAAGTGTTGTGTTTGTAGGTATCATTAGCAGAAGGTTGTTAATTTCTCCATTCTTAATTAGACTTAAGACTTTTTTTCTCATACTAAAAAAAAAAGTGTAAGTACATGTAAAATGGACTAAGTACACAAGAACAGGAACATAAATAAACTGTAGTATTGTAACTATAGAATATTTAATTGTGCTAAAATGATAAAGTAATATTTGCCCTTTCCTATTTTTATATTCAGTGGATTTACCTTACTCATTAAACAGTGCTTGCCCATGATGCTTTAGAAGGAATTGCATGGTTGAAGGCTCCTGGCAATGTAATAAAAGCCTTTTTGGGCTGTCACCTTCTTTCTGTTTTTGAAGTAAGGTAACTCAGCTCTTACTTTACATACATGGAAAAAGTACCTTCTTAGTTTGAAATATACACTTCTGTGATTAATTGTTGCATAAGCACATGAAGAGTAATCAATCTTAGGTGGTAAATATCTTTCCGTTAGGTATTTGTAGAGAGTTATGTCTGCATTAGCAGAAGTTAAGAATGCAAATTTCATTTTTTATTTGGAGTTTTAAACAGAAGTATGTTACTTTGTTATATATAGATAGATACATGCCATGCAGAAGATAAGCTTTTCGCAATGTCATATTGAAAATCAAAGAACACCTAAAAGTAACCTTGTGCAGCAGTAATGCTGAATAGTGCGCAAGCATGGTAATGAGGAATGGTAATTGTATGTGCCTCAATTGAAAATGAAGCTGTTTATTTATATTTATCGTTTTTACCTCTTGGATTTTTGCACTCAACTAAACACTGTTCTGAATTCTTGAAAGGTTCTTTGGGACAGTTATTTAAGTTGAATCCCTTCAATAATACCTTAGATGAAACGTTGACAGATATTCATATAGAAACGCATATTTCTTTGTGTAAACATCGGGGGGGGGGGGGGGAAGTGGTCTGAATTATAATAATACAGTCTGAAGGTCGCAGACTCAGAATATTCTGAAGTTCTGTATTCCACAGTAATGGTTGCTTGATTGTATTGCAGATAAAATGTTACGGTTATTTTAATGCCGCATCACTTGAGTGTTGTACTTATAATGATGTTGCCAAAATAAATACTTTTCAGAACCAGTATTAAATCAGGTTAAATGTTTCATAGTCTCTTAACTTTGCATATGATTTTCCTAAGAAGATGTGATACTAAGTAATGGCTGGCTCAAAGAGTCCCCTAGCAGTAAGATTTCACGCTTTGTAGATGTAAGCATTATACTTGAGTCAGGACAAAATAGAAGGTTCTACTTTAAAGCATTTAACTCAGCCTGATGGTATGATGCTGTCATTCTTGATTATTTTAAGAAAATCCATACAAACACAAAACCCCACAAGAAGAATGGTAATATTAATAAATCTAGCAAAGAAAAAGTTTTCCAAAATAACTAAACTTTCTGAGAGAGTCAGTTATTGTAGTTCTGACAATTTACACATTCTGCCTAGATTCTGTTGGTTTTGCTTAATTTTTATAACTCCTATGAAGTAACCATTAAACATTTATTTTGAAAGAATAAACAGCTGGGTAGCAGTATAATATACACAGTGCAAATCTGAAATGAATGGCCTTAGAACAAAGTGCATCCATCAAAGGAAAAGAATACTGTGTCTACAACAAGCTGTATTGAAAAAAGGCAAATGGCTGAAAAATAAATAGTGAACACCTGTGCTGAATAAATTAACCAGCTGGTTGGCAATTTTTCATTTGACCTATCTGAAGGGGTTGCTGTTACAAGGCATTAATAAGACACATTCATTTTAAGATATTCCTTTGTTAGTACCATTAATTGATGAATGGTGGAAGATAATATTCTAAATTTACACAACAATTTGTCTGCAGATGTATTATTTTTTTCAGAATTAGGAGAAGAATTGTCTGTACAGAAGTTCAATTTGAGTCATTTTTATAGACAGTTCTTACATTATTCAGGGATATTTGTTCCTATAGGAAGGATGTCATGAATTTAGATTATATACAGTTTTTGGCTTTCATTATAAAATGTGTAGAGCTGCAAATCATGCAGATTTACGTATTCATTAGTGGGAATTGAATAGAAATTTAAAATATGTAAATGTAATGTTTTTGTTACACTGCTTTTCAGAGTGATAGAGGAAAAAATAAAATGCGTTGTGAGCCCAAATTTTGTTTTGATTTAAAAAGTAATAATCAAGTATGTTTAAACTGAGACTGAACTGTACATTCAGCTTGGGAGAAGAGAGAAGAAAGATGTGCCTCTGACTTTTTGTGTTTTAAAAAGCTTTAGGATGGGTTAAATAACAGCTTCATTCTTAGTTATCGCATTCATGGCAACAGCTTTTGCAGTTTTCACAAATGCCATGTTCCGAATTCCTAAAAAAAACCCTCAAAATCCAGAAAGAACTCCAAAATGTAATTGAATTTCATTTGTGTTTTTAGTAGTTTACTTTTTTTTAAAAAGCATTTGAGAAAGTACTTATCTCTCTTTGATATTTTATAGGTATTTAATGCTTGCAATATGAAGCTGAAAGACATAATTAATGTACAGAAACAGACTTCTTTCATTAGTGATTTCCCTATAGCAGTTCCTGTATTTACCAGGGCAGTGTGTAACCCATTCATGAATAAGTGCTTCTTGGTGGCTGTGCACTAGTCCAAACTCTTACTTTCATGAGCCCATGTGAGCTGCATGAGATCATAAGTAAGGAGCAACTTTGAAAGGATAGAGGGGATTTTCCATCTTTTAACAGAGCTCCTGCTCCCTGCTTCCCCATTTAAGGCTACAGATGTGAGGGAGTGGTTTTATATGCATACTGAATAATTCTTTGCTGTTCAGTGAATTTCAACCATCCAGGTAGTTACTGAAATTTTGTACTGTGTGTTTGCAGGTCACCTTTAAAATCATAGTTCATTAGTTTTCAGCCAAGATTAAATTGTTTATTCAGTGCATTAATGGCTTGTGGTAAAGATAAAAAGATAGAGGGAAATTATTGCTGAGCTCTTTTCACTTACAATGATACTGATTTGATTCATCTCAGCTGGTTGTATAAACTAAAATTCCAAGTTCAAAAGTACTAGTTTCTAAGGTAGATGTCATTGAAGTTCAAGATAAAAAGAGTAGATGAGATTACAATTGGAGGTCTGCTTCATATGAGGAGTTTTAAAGAATTGAGTTGTGAAAAGGCAATGGACTATACAGAGTAAATTTTGTGTGGTAGTGTCTCTCATTTTGACTGGCTGCCTTTATCTGCTATACACAAATTTGTAACAGTGGCATAAAAATAACATATCAATAAAAATGAGTTTCCTCATTGCTACATGAGGAAACTTTATTCTGAATGGCTGTTATGTGAACAACTACTTAGAATGCGAGGGCAGAGTCAAAAAGTAATCTGAATGTTTTACTTAAACTTCAGGGCAAAATTGCCTGCTGCTTTTATGGACTTGGGATGGTAATAGATGCAAAGTAGTCCCAGTCATATAAAGCACTTCTGTTTTCTTCAGCAAGTTTGCTTGTGATACGTTTGAGCTTAATGACTTTAATGCATTTACACATTTAAATTTCAAAGGGTATTTTTAATCCATTGAAAAAAAAAACCCTAATCAAATTGCTTTACTGTTTCTTTTTTAAAATACTGTATTTCTTTTGTTTATGTAGCTGTGTTATGTATTGTATTTCACCATGAGAGTTTTGATTTTGATTATAAGCTCATTCCATCTTTTGAGCCCATGTAAAATAAGAACTCCAATTATTTTTCTATTTTTTTTCTCAGTAAAGTACTCCTCTTGAATTATAGCTTTACAGTCAAAGAGCCAGTATTCTTTAGCGGGTGGTACACGTGATTTGGCCAGGATAAAGAAATTCTAATGCTTTTCATAGTAATGCTTGAGGTTTCCATTCTGGCACTGACTCAAAACTTTAAACAAGTTTTTAAGACTCTTTAAAAGACTTTTTCTTCCCCCTCTTCTTCCCCCTGTGTTTTTAATCAGTCAGGATTCAGCTGAAAATGTTGAAGAAGCCGGTGCATTGCTGAAGCTGCCTGCCTTTGGAGCCTCTGATGTTGACGGGGTTGCTCAGGAATCAGAAAAGGAGTGCACACCGGTGGAGAACACCTTAGCAGAGGTGGAGAGCCAGGAACCAGAAAAGGCGACAGGCACAGAGCCAGCAAGCACAGTAGAAGGGAATGATCCAGAAATAACCTCTGAGAATGAAAGTTCTCATAGTACGGCTTTAGAAGAGTCCACTCCCAAAACTGGATCTGCACCCTCAGAAAGTTCTGCCCAAGGACCAAAGGAAATCACATATGCCCAAATTGTTAGAGAAGGCAGAAGGTTTAATATTGATTTAGTTTCCAAGGTAGGAATTGAATGATGCTTTTCATATAAGTACATTTACTTTGCTTTAAAGGCTGGAATTAAAAAAAAAAAAATTAATATTGAGGAGAGCTCACACCAGTACCCTTGAGGCAAAAAAGACACTTGTGAGAAGTAATCAAGAGTTAGTACCCTTAAAACAAACACGAGATGTCTCACATGTGCTCTTAAGTGTTTGATTATAACCAGAGACCGTAAAAATAGCTTAGAAATACATCCATAAAAGTAAATTTCCTGAAATTTAGCACTTGAGTAATACCTGCAAAATTGCTCTTTTTAAACAGTACAGTTAAAAAACTTGTATTTTTAAACAAGGAAAATCCATCTTCCTACAGATCTTTAATGTTTTTAAAATGAAAAGAAGTTTTCCTGTTGGAGAGCTTCCTGGCTTTTAGATATCCCTGTGAAATTCTCATTGTCTCTATACTCAAACTAAAGCACAGGATTGTAATAAATTTTATTGGAAAGGGAAAAAAAAAATAATAATTAGATGTAATCCATAACATAGAAACTGACTAAAATTAGTTATTACTGTGTTGAATTCCTACTACACTAGTCTTACTTAGAGGATAAGTTTTACTTAGAGGAAAAGCTGTTAGTCTGACATAGTTATCATACTGTTTAAACTTTAAAATCTGCCCTGTGTAAAGGATAAGTAAAAGGATATGACCCTGGAAATTCATGTTAAATGGAAATTTTTCTTAATTTCTGTGCTTTAGGTGTGTATTTTGCAGTACAGGGAAGTTTTTTCAGGGCTGAATGCTTAATTTTTCATATTCTGCCTGGAAAAGTCTTTCAAGCCTCTAGAAACTAGAAGAAAACCTTCCTTCAATAGTATATTCAATTCTTTGTGGAGACACTACAAAATGCATGATTTCAAATTTTGCCTCTGTGTTCCAAATACCTCTTTTATGCACGATGGGAATGACGTCATAAAAAAAATAGTCATTGTATAATGGTTAAGCAGATAATACTGTTTTGTATCCTTTTAATGCTTTTCCTGCACCATTGTGTTACATGGTGTTAACTGCAGTGAGTTCCAGGAATTCTATCTGAAGAGTAGTCTCCAGAGCAAGGCTAGTAGTTTCCATTACTGTCTCCCTGGCGCTGTGACACAAACTTTATTGTGGTGTCCATTCAGTATTCCAGTAAACCTTTATCTTGAAAACTTCTGTGTGATTAAGCAGATTCCGACATTCAGGGCCAAAAGCCTCGAGGCATTTTTAAACTAATCTCCAATGCTTTCCAGTTCAGACATATGTTGTCAGTTAATAGTTAACATTTCTGCCCCTTCAGGATTTCATAATATATTTGTAGCGTCTAGAAAGAGTAAAGGTAGACAGATGATAAATTAATATAGCAGAATATGACTAAATCTTAACTGAGGGGTTAAGGAATTTACATTTAGAAAATGTGACATTATCATTTCAGGTAATTTAAGAAATAACTAATGATGATTTACACAGACAGTGTCACCTAATTGGGAAGTGAAGGTTGTAAAGTACTGTGTGCAAGGATATATAGCGTACAACACAAAGAAATTATTCAAGATGACAATGCAAAATATTGTCTAAAACTGTGACTCCCAGACTAATAGAACTAAAAGCAATAGGCTGACACTTTCTGCCTTTCACTCCTATGGACTGCTTTGTCTCTCCATTTCTGTGGTTGCGTCAGTTCATTTAGTATTATGTTACGCATATTACATTTTGATACTTTTAGTCAGATTTTACTTTACTACATGTACTTGCAAATACTTGCAGAAAGCGCCTTACAAGTGAATGCTGTTGGTATCACTGTTTTCTTTTGGTGTATGCTCTTTACTCACCGCTTTTTTTTCTTCCCTGTGCAGTTGCTGTACTCCCGAGGTCTGTTAATTGACCTCCTGATCAAGTCGAACGTTAGCAGATATGCAGAGTTTAAAAATGCAACACGAATTCTTGCATTTCGAGAAGGAAAAGTAGAACAGGTACATAAAATAATGCACTGCATGCGTTTAATCTTATATAAAGTCAAGAAATCAGTGTCTTGAGAGTTTTGTAACAGTAAGCTAGTATGTGTCCTTAAGATTGTGAATTTAATTTCACTTCTGGAATGAAAAGGTGTTTATATGTGTTTATATATAAATTATTTTCTTTTTAATAGCTAAAATAAGAACGTGCAGTCCAGTAAATTGATGTAAATCTTTATATCATGTCAAATATTCAGACTATGATCGACTTGGCAGTTAATTCTTAAAGATTCACAGGTTTTTAGGTTTTAAAATTTGTAGCATAGATTTGATTTTTCTCTCTGGTACTAAGAAATCATTGGTGTGATAATGGCAACAGGGGATTTTGGCACAGTTAGGTAATAGAAACTCTTGATTAACTTCTACAGTCAGAGATGCAAGTGAAATTGAACCTAAATAAAAAGGGGAAGAGGCTGAAAAATATTTCTTACAATTTTAATTGTGTAAAATTGGTAACTTTATTATAATAGAAAATAATGGAAAGGAATACGTTAGAAAATATCTATAATAGAAATATTCATTAGGTAGCCAGACTGTAGAGTTGCCTGATGCTTTCCACATCCAGGGTATGGGAAGTATCTGAAATTATTAAAAACTCTTTTCCAGGTACCTTGTTCTAGAGCAGATGTCTTCAACAGCAGACAGCTCACTATGGTGGAAAAGAGAATGCTAATGAAATTTCTGACATTTTGTTTGGACTATGAACAGCACCCTGAAGAATACCAAGGTGGTGTTTCATTGAACAGTGTACACTCTCTCCTTATGAGTTCGTTCACTTGTGCGCAATTCCGATAGCTCTCCTGTGTTTTCACGCAGTTTATTTTTATGGATTCATTTTTAAAGTATGCTTTGGCCTTTTCATGACCTTTTCACTGCAGTGTTTAAATTCTTCTACTTAAGCATTTCTCTTCTACTTCCTACATCATTTATTATTTACATTTGTCTTTAACAGTGAAATTATGTATTACGGCAAGGTTGCAAAATGTTTTTTATCATTTTTAGGTGTTTTCTCCCCCATCACAGGGATTTTTTAAGATGGTGTGGTGTAGCTGAGTTTTCTGTTGTGTTTTTGGGGCGGGGGAAGTAATACATAAATCACAGAATGTTGCCGCCAAATCAGAAATTGAGAAAATGGGGTTTTAAACTTTGAAAGTAAATGTAATTTAATGCCTTTTAGTTGTAGAGGACAAGTTCAAAGTGCCTTTATCAACTCTTGGCTCATTTAGATGAGAAAAAATCTGAATATATTTGAGCCATAATGTGCAGGGAATAATGAGCATTAGGTCAAACAGGAAAATTGGCCAACAGAAGGAAGGTGCTTTGGGTTTATGCACCTTAGGGTACAAAGAATGAAGTGATGTTCTCAGTTCTTGGATGGACTAAAGGTAGACTAAGGCATAAAATAAAAAAAAAGTCTGTCAAAAAGAAATAATGGGGAAAAAGGAATAGTTAAACTACTGACATGAGTTTCAGACTGAAGCATATCTGTGCTTTTGTAGCTTGACAGTAGCTCAACTAGTCAGTGTTTTTGAAAGAATCTAGTGTTAAAAAGAAGCAGTTGTTAAGGTACTGGTGTGATTACTTGAACAAGTCCCTTAGATTAGGTACTAACATTAGAGAAAATCATTTAAAACATGCAAGAGAGAATTGGTCGATCTAGAGAATGATCTGCTAAGATTAGGAGAAAGCGAGTCTGTGATGAACTCGAGAAAATCATGAAGGGGGAAAAGCTCATTAGTGGTTTATAGATTACAGGTAATATCAGATTTGCTGCTGCTGGAAGAAATGGAGGTGCTCAGAGTGAGAATATAGGTGGTATTTAGAAAATTTATTAAGTAAAGAAAGGAGACGCCACATCAATTTTAAATGAATCCATTGATTCATGTGTCTAAATGACATTAAATTTATTTTACTTCCAGAGGCAGTTAAACAGATTTTGTTCCTACATTTTGAAATAGCCTGGAAGGTAATTGGGATATTTTGAGTCAGACTAGTCTAATGTAAAGACTTCATAAATTTCAAATTGCTCTTGGTGAGATCATTCTATTCGTGGGAAGGCAGACTTTTAATAGGGAGAGTTCATGATAGTGAAGAATTCTTTTTTTTTTAAAAAGCTTTTTTTTTCTGTAAAATTTGGAGTTATGTAACAAGTCTGAAGTGAGGAAAAACTTGGGAGGTGTTTTTTTAGAATGCTAGAACAAAAAAACCCTCTCATTTAAAGACTTGCTGCATGGCTGCAGCAAGGGTAATAAGATATATTTGTAATAAAACAGTGATTGGATCATATACGAATATATAGCTAATAATACCAGTCTCAGGATCCATGGAAGTGTTACCTGTCAGTTTATCCATGAGTGAAATAAGCTTATGAGCAGATTTCTGAGTAATGTGAAAGTATGCTGTTGCTTGAATGCAGTCTTTTCCTGGGAGGGGAGAGGATAATTTAGTTATTAGCATAATGAATGTTTTTCAGAGATATATCAGTGACATGCAACACTTGCATTAAGCATCTCCTGAAAGACTGGTGTTTCTTGGAATTTCAAAATGTGTCAGCAATAGTATTCTTTTTAAGGGACATATGGCTCCTTATCCCTGTCATCTCTGTGTGTCATCCAGACTTGTTTGTTGCAAGTCACTGATTTGAAATAAATACTGTGCCCTCTCATGTGTGGGTTAAGACACCATGTGAATGGCTTCTCTGCACATAGACACTCTAACCGTGTCAGTATGGATACTGTTCTTGAATGGGTGCCATTCAGGTTGAATATTTTGGGTAATTTACAGGGAAGAGCATCCCAAGGCACTTGAATGGATTTTTGTCCGCAGTTACTCACTTTTCTCACCCAGTTGAAAAGTGGGTTTAGATCAAGTCTAACACAATGAATGAATGAAGCCATATCTAGAGTTTGCTTTCTAGACTGTTGGACACCTGTACAATGGTTTTGCATTGGTTTGAAATATTTTAATGGAGTGATATTTCTGTCTTCTGAGAGAAGTCACTTTCTGGGAGTAGATGTTTTTTTAACTTCCTTTGACTTGGATTATCCATTTTCAGCAAGACGTTTGTTGAAAAACTCATTTGCTTTTGTTAATTTAAATACAAATGCACTTGTTTAGGTTGAGGCATATGAGAAAAAAATAAATGTTATATAGAACCCTTTACCTAAATTTACTCTTTCCTCAGACTACGAGAACAGTACATTTGCTCAGTTCTTAAGAACACGGAAGTTAACACCAAGTTTGCAGCACTTCATTCTTCACTCTATTGCAATGGTTTCAGAGACTGATTGCAGCACTCTTGAAGGTCTTCAGGCAACAAAAAAGTTTCTTCAGTGCCTTGGCCGCTATGGCAATACACCATTTTTGTTTCCACTGTATGGTCAAGGAGAGATCCCACAGTGCTTCTGTAGGTAAGCTTCACTTTTCTCATAGCTATCTTCCAAAAATGAAATCCTGATGCTAATAGATATCATTCCATAGGAATAATCCTGTTAACAATTTCCTGTTGGTTTTATTTGCTTTACATTTTCATTGGATGTGAAATTCCCCACCTCAAAAAAAAAGGCAAAAATTAAAAAATAAGTTGGAAATGCTGCTACTGTGACATTTTGAAACGTTACAATACTTTACTTTCATAAGGTACACTACCTCTAAAGTCCTAGTGATGCATAATTTGTGTAACTTTTTTTAATACCTTTTGTACTTCAGAGTGTTGGCTTATGTTGGGGTGGACTTGGCAGTGCTGGGCTAATGGCTGGGCTTGATGATTTTAAAGCTCTTTTCCAACCGCAACCTAAAAAATCCTACGGTTCTATGATTGCATTCCAAGTGTAACTTTTCATTGCTGGCTGTTGTGGTGGCTGCCTACGGTAAGAAGTACTGCGAAATGAGGAAGAGATAATTTAACTCATGTGTAGCTATCCCTTCTTAAAACTGACAGAGGAGACTCAGTGCCATGTTTGTCCCAAAGGATCACTGTTCATTTTGGTAGACTGAGAAAATTTGTGGTTTAGTCTTCCTGAAGTTACAGGAGGATACGTATTTTCAGTTTGTGTCATTAACCAATGCTGAGAGTGCATCTGACATTTTAATAATGAACTGGATTTTTCAGAAAGAAGTGAAATTAGGCCATGTGTCCAGTTTATTTATTATTAAATAAAGTTATGCAATCATTTCACCTTTGTTATGTCGCAGACTTGCACAAACAGGGCAACTGATGTGAAATCATGTCTTATCCTCCTGGCATCATTTTGTAGACCACAAGCTCTCACCTATGACATATTGAACAGCATATAAGATATAATGAAGCCTTATTACACTGAACCATATACAGACTGCAGTTTTACACTCCAGCATCTTAAACAGCAGCCATATTTCTCTACTACTTCAGCCCTAGAAAGTAATTAAACCAAAAACCCTGTATTGACTCCAGGATAAAACAACATTCACTTCAACCCTTTACTTGAACTGTGGGCAATGGTAATGTAGTCTTCAGTGTGGTTCCCGAGGTATGCTAGGGACTGGAGTTCTAGAAGAGGAGTTGTTGATGGATGCTTTTGGGGACCATTAAGGATACATGTGCAGAGGGTGGGCGGTTTTAATTTTCAGTTGTTTCCAACAGTTCAACTGGTTTTTAAAAGGCTGAGGGGTTTTTTAATCTTTTCTTTTGCTGGCAAGCAGCCTTTCCATCTGCTCTATGTGGGTTTTTAATGTAGTAACCTGTAGGTCTAAAATAAACATTAGCTCTATTTAAAAGAAGCAGTATTGCATGGTGAGGCCACTTTGTTGTCTGAGTGATATATTTGTATATCGTTCATTTAAATATCAGTGCCAAGTCTTACCTGCTTTGTTCTTTGTTGGTGGACAACTTCTGCTTTTCACATCTGTACTACTATTCAGGAATTCTGGTTTACAGCACGCTGTTGGACATTATCTTCCTGTCTTGTCTGCGTGATGGATTCTGTTTTTCTTCTCTGTAACAGTGCTTAAATTACTGCTAGAACAGTGGCCTCAGCAGCTTGAGCCTATTTGTCAGTGTATAGGATGGATGCAATTATATGCTGATAGAAACATTCTGGAATAATTGTCAGAGTTTGTGGAAGGTATCTACAGAGTAACTGGTCGGCACCAGCAGCCAGCTGTGTTGTGCAAGGTCTTATTCGGACTTAGCAACAAATGAAGGCCTACATGATGTTTATATGTAGGTTATCTAATGCTTTGCTTTGATCATTAGACAGCAAGGCATTGTTCTGTGCTGCATTAACCAGAAATGCTGTGTGGTAACATCTTTTGTCATCTCTACCTTAAACTCTATGGAGATTTTAAAAAACCTAAACCTATGTAATTAGGTGCTCAGACGGAAAATTTATGGACAGTAATTGTTTTAGGTAAGTACTTTGGACATAGTCATGCAATAGAACTTGTGTTTGTAGGTTTTTATGATGTCTTTCTGTGTCCATAGGTCTTCATGTGGGACCAGATATCTGTACATGGCAGATTAATAAATCAAAATACTATTAGAGCCACAAGTTTTGCAGTTAAACCTCTTTTGACTTAAATATCTGGGGAAAAAAGTAGATTTAATAATTAAAATAATAAATAGGGGTTTAGTTACATTTTTTTTCCACTGTAGGTTCTTCTCAATTTAATTTTTCTTGCATTCTTGCAAGCCTTTTAACTTTATTATGTGTAATAGCCAGCATGTGCAGTTTTCTGATCTGTAGTAGCAGTATATTTCAAGTTGGCAAACGTGGTGTCTAGATATTGTAAATATTATTGTAAATTATTGTAATTATTGTAAATAATCTTATCAGAAAATCATTCTGGCAGTGTTCAAGGCCAGGTTGGACAGAGCCTTGGGCAACATGGCATAGTGTGAGGTGTCCCTGCCCATAGCAAGGGGTTGGAACTGGATGATCTTAAGGCCCTTTCCAAACCATTCTGTGATTCTGCGACCACAGGAATTCTTCATATGGCATGAGCTAGGTATTTATGTCCATTGATTGCAGCATTTCAGGGTTGTGTTTTGCTAAATTGTAAGTCTTCCAATAAGGACTGTGTCTTAATAGTTGAAGCAAATTACTCTGTAAAGCCAAAAGGTAATTATACTTTTAAACAGTTTGTATTAAAAACATGTGAATACAAAATATGGTCTAAATGTCTTTGTGATTGCCTTCTGAATTGTTCACCTGAAACCACTTTTTTTTGAGATTAATCACGATTTTTATATGTGGTCTGCCTTAGGTATTCTGTCTGGCTAAAACTGAGCAGTATCCGAACAGATATTCAGATGTTCAGACTGTATAGTAAAGTGGTAATGCCACAACCTATACATCATACCCTACAGTTTTTATCACCAGGTTATCAGAGTAAGGTGTCACCTGTTCTGTGATTTCTAACCACCGTTCCATATTCTGTTTTAATGTAAACCTCTTAAGCGTTTCTTGCAGCCAGTTACACTGTGTGTTCTCATCAAGGCTACTGTTATAAATGGCATACATGCATATTTATGTGAATGAGTCAAAGACATTTGTAAGTCATATCCTTGCATTCTAAATGAATTCTGCATAAACAGTACAACATTTTATAACTACTGACGACACTTGAGTGAGTAAAAGCTGTGTTAGTTCTTTATTGGCTTAAACAGGTATGGTTTAGGAGAGAAAATTAAACTTTTATATCACTGTAATGTACCTCCCAATATGCCGAGGTACAGATGCGAGATTTCTGTCTCCATAAATTGGATTCGTGGTACAAGGAAGGTCATTGGAAGCCTCACACTATTCTGAGCTGACAAGCAGCTAAACTTTGCTGGCTTGTATAACAGCTTCTTTTGGTTCAAACTTCTTGGTATGAAACTGTTACGTCTTTTCCTGTCTAATGAAGTATCAGAAGTATGCTTAGTAAAAATAATTACAGTAATAGCTTATTCTTGAGGAACATCAAAGCAAGCCTTTACACTTGATATGGTAAATATGAGATACCTGAACTTCAATATGGAAAGCACTGAGGGAAATCTGTGTATGTTTTGCGCTCTGCTGTTAACATGTTTGTTGCAAATCTGTAATACAGCTTTCATTTTCTTGAAAAAATGTCACTAAAGAAAAACTATGGTTGGCATCATTGAAAATGGTGAAGTCTCAGTGGTACAACATTTACAATAGTGTGATTTTGTTTGGTTTTTTTTCTGGTTTTAGAAAACATTAGGGAATATCCTAAATATTTTTTTTTATGTAGGAGTTAAATGTTAAAACTGGCAGCTTCCAGGTTTTCCCTCTAATGTAACCTGAATCTCCTTCTGATTTTTCCGATGCAAAAGCTTTAAGATTTTTTTTTTAATGCTTTTGAGGAGTCTCTGGGAGTGCTATTTTCCAAATATTGTTTCATAAAGTTCACTTTCACAGTTCACCTCAGTAAAATACACCCCTTATTTTCAGTTTTCCATTGAGAAGTGTTTCTGGAAGCTTTCAGTCATGATTCTCTTCACCTGTGACCGGTGGGGTTTTAATGGGTGTGAGTTGAAGTCACTTGTAGATTGTGGTCTTGCTTCTGTGATTTTTCTCTGTGGTTGCTTTATGGACACTGAATTTTTTTGGAGGGTGAGACTATGCATCGTTTCTCTTCAGTTTGGTTTCAGATTCTTTTTTCTGGGCTCTTGCAAGTATGAGCATCCAAAGGGAAGCAAGACTTTTTGAGAAGTAGTAATGCAGTTTTTCCCATTTGATGTTCTGGAGGGATTTGGAGAGTCTGTGCTGTCTGCCATCTCATGAAGGCTCTAAGAGATGACAGACTCATTGTGTCTTTTTCCTTTTTGCTGAGAGTCATCCAAGAATTTACATATGTGGTCATGGTAATAGGTGCTGAGGTAGTAGAATCTCTTCAGCTGCTTTGCTGTAGGAATTGGTGATACACTATCTTTTATGGATAGTCGGTTAATGACTTGCATTTCCTATAAATAGGCTTTGAAACTGTATGTAGTGTATGCATTTGGTGGACAGCGTAACCTTTTTTAAGTAGTTGTTACAGATTCTAGCTGAAATTAGTCATTTTTGTGTCAGTGCCAGTGGCAGTAGTAATTTTGTGGTGGAGGAAAGCTCTGATTAAGACAGTTCTTCTCTTTCAATCCCTATATTTACAAGATTGAGAGTCCAGGCTGAGATATGATGGATCATAAGATTTGTTTTGGAAAGTTCCTGTATATATTTCAAGAATGAGTAATCAATTTTTACCCTTATATTTGAGCTATTACCTCCTACAAATGTCAAAGCTTCTGAGGTAGTCTCAGGTACTTAAAAATTTCCGATTATGTTCCTGTGCAATCTCTAGGAAGGTTTTAGTGTTCTGAAATGAAGGCTGGACTTCAGGAAACCTGACTGTAATAAGCACTTAGAATTTTATTTCATTTGAATCT